AGGATAATAAATTGAAACAAAAATCAAAGTTCCTGTATAAAAATGGGACATGTTCATCTTTATTACAGATACCATTGTTTCACTAAATCTACAATTTACACATTTTGTGATCTTTGACCATTCACTGAGGTATGTGCAGATTTAAGTGAACTAAGAAATAAGGGACTGGAGATGCAAGAACGCCAAAACTTCAGTTAAAAAAAATGGGGGTCTATAAAGTATTAGTTCTATTTTTGAAAAAAGGTATGGTCAAAATAGTCGGCTGAATAACTTACTTAAACATGCATCACACTAAATGCAATAACACAACCCCATCTGTTCAGTGCTAGAGATTTAAACAGCCTACCACAGACATAGTAAAATCTTGAGAATTACCAGTTCCAGTCTGTTCAGTTTTCCATTTTAGCTTCTTTCATCAAATAAATCAGTGTTTTGAGCAACATGCAATCACTGTGTAACATGCCAGATGATGGTGCAAGCAGGGCCCATTTCTTTTTCCGGTCAGAATACGAACTTTGCCACTATTAAGATAGCCTTTACATACATATGATGGCCTTTACATCTGCTCATCAAATCACGAGGAAATAAAGGTCCACTTATAAGCAGACCTGGAACATGAGTGTCAGCTAAGTATTCTAATCACATTGGTAGCCACCTGTACGTGGGAAGATTGTATTTAAAAAAGTTTAAAAAACCTAGCTTTGGGTGCACAAATTTGCCAATGTTGGATTAATAGTCGTACCATGGAAGGTGATTGGCAAAATCTTGGGGCTTTCCCAAAAAATGAGTAGCGTGAAAGGGCCTGAAATTAGATTTTCTGCTTTACATTTGCTGGAGGCAACTCTTCATCCAAATTAGCAACTGACAAGCAGCACTGAGACAGTAACTTTCTGTTACCACACTTTGATGTTAAAGGAAACTGGTACACAAGAGCACAAGACGAAACAATTAGGAGGCAGCTGATAAAAATTGCAACTGATCAAAACATGGAAGCACATACACAAGCAGTAACATGTATGTTTTCTCTTAAATGAAATAAATAACAAAATCCTCTGGAATATAAGTACCCCAACAGACAATAAAAGCATACTGAGATAGCAGTAATATCGTCTTGTACATTGCCGTTCCAGTTTCAGATAGTCAATACATACACACATTTTCACTCTTAACTTTGTTTCATTTTGATGTGAGCTGTCTAGAAGAATGGGTCTTTTTTAAACCTTTGGCTTTGTTTCCACCCTCAGGTATGCCAAATTTCTGGAATTAACTACGGTGGTTGTTAATGTGAGTGTTAACCCTAACCTGTAATCATATTGAAATTGGACGATCCAGGACTGTTATGGTTAAAGGCCGCAACTTTGTAAAATGCACCACAGATGAGGCTGCAGCTGCAGATGGTGCTAAGCTCTGAGAAAAACATAAATTCATACTTACGGAGTTGACAAAAGAGACATTTAGTTGCTGTACTGTAAATGGTAACCTCATAGTGCCACACACATTTACACACACCTTGTCTTTCAAAGACTGCAGTTAGAAACAAACAAATCCTAACAATGTTCAAAAGTGCATCACTTTCTTTCAAATACACTATTGTACTGTGAAAGGTTTACATATTGATCCTTTTGGCAGTTGCTTTGTCTATACAGGTAAAATGATTAACTTGCCCAGATCCATAATGCATGAAAGCTGCCTTCTTCACACAATCAGTAAACATATTGACTATGGTAACTCCTGAAACTCCACAGATTAAACATACATGTATAAAGCATACAACCTTTCATTTATCACAAATGTCATGCATCTATTTTAAATATAATGTGCATCCAATGGTGCTTGGTATGTTTTACATTCTTATATACAAGTTTAATATTCCTCAGCAAAATTATAAAGCCAATTTGTCATGTAAAAGACATTCAAATCCGCAACTATTACATGATGAAACAAATGGGATACAATAGTGAATTCTGCCAAATATTACTTCCAAAACCACAGGTTACAATCTCAAGAATATCAATAAAAAATGCTGTCTTTTCTGTGGCCACTATTCTACATGTGTTTATTTCAATTTTTTACTTAAAACAAAATAAATAGTGTACAAATGCTACGTTGTCTCAAATTTCACTCAATAAATGATCTTAATGTTCAGATGTTCGTAATATCAGGCGAGTCAAGTCAGTGTTATGTCTTGGTATTTGTTGCAATTTAACTAACACTGTGACAAGCTATGACTAGCTGATCCATCTATCAATCAGCAAACCAGGCTTGACCTTTGAAGCACGCACAGAAACATCTTCAGGAATTCACAGTCCCTGTATTACATGGATTTTCTGGATACATTCTAGACTACTACACCATAGTTTGTAACTTTTAAAGAGGCATAGACATCTCTGGACTCATAACCCTTCGTCTTACAAGGAATATAATGAGCATTAGGCAAGAGAGGGTAGTGATAGATACATGTGTCTTAGGTCATTTAAAGCAATCTGGAGGAGACAAGGGAAGAGAAGATTATCGGCGGGCAAAGTGGACGGTGACAGGTTAATAGTTCCCTCCTTTTGCCACAAAAGTTATGAAAATGCCCTTTGTCCTAGACAAACCTGCACAGCATACCCAAGAATATTACACCATCAGTGTTTGGAACTTGACACTGATTCTTACCATGTTCCTATGGACTTGTGAGTGTGATATTATAAAGCTTGGGAGAGCATTACACGACCTGTGTCAGACTGTTTTGTTTTCTTCACTTTGGTGTGTTTGGGGCTGGTTCATATTTCAACATCAGGTGGGTGGGGTATACATTTAGAGAGGCAAAGACTATTTCTACAGATATTCTTAAATTATTTGTTGTTGTGATTTACTAACAAAGATTCACCCTGTCTTTTACCTCAAAAGGAGCACATCTATGATTTTCTTACCCGAAAAAGCTGCTGGGGGTGGGTTTTATACCTGCAAATTCTTCAACCTCGCAATAGTGCTTTGACCCAACCAAGCATGAGCGTACACATAAGGAAAATTATTTGTGTTTACACGTCATCAACATCAAGCGGTTAAGAACAAAACAAGCTCTCTGGCTGAAATTGTGAACTGACATAGGTGGTATGTTATATTGCTCGTCTCTCCTTTTTTTGAATGTGGATACACCTCGAAAAAGAAGGAATGTCAGATACAATGTTGCCCGCAATAAATACAACAAGAATAGAAAAAGTAGCCAAGTCTGTGAGTTACATTTGGTTTGGTCCTTGGTCCAAAGTTGGTAACTGCATCAACTGAATGTCTTCATAAAACAAGCATTCATGTGCCTCCTATACACACAAAAGAACACCAATGTTATGATGTCTTGAAATGTTCTGAAAAACAACCATCAAGTTGGTTCAGGTTGGAAGTGTTAATGGATTTTAATACCGAGTTTTTACATTCACAGAAAAACTTTTGTAAGCAATGTAAAGTCAGTGCTGTCCTGGATCTTTTGAGAAAAACATACATTTCTGTCTCCGTGGGACTAAAGTTTGGCTTCCCAGCATTGGCTGACCTGTTGATGATTACCAATGGTATAATTGTCATTTATGAAACTGGTAATCAAACATCATAATTCTGTACACTTTCCCAATGCAAAGCCCCATAGTACATGTTCAGAAAGCAGTCATCTACCAAAATATCCAAAACTAGACAAGAAAAATGTGTTTCACAAAAATACAAACCAATCAGTCAGGCCAGAAAGCAGTGCCTTTGTGAAAACTACATCAGATTCCTTAGTGTGATCCTTAGTGCCATAGGTCATACAAGTAAAAAGCTTAAAGACATCCATAAATGGCAGTTGTCTACTAACTGGCAACTTTGCAATACAATATGAGATGTGACGAGTTTTGTCCTTATGTACACGTACACGTACATGTACCTTGTACACTTCCTGAAATACAATAGCTAAGAAACCTCTCTAATTTCTCTCCATTTTCCCTAGTTTCTTTTTTTACAATTCTCTTTCAACTGCATGTTTCACTGTGAAACTAAGACAGTATTTCACCGTATGTGTTTTGAACAATTTGACTCTAGATTACATGTATAGAAATTTCTGTTATGGAAGGAATGTTTAAATTAACAATAAATGAAGTCAACTTATTATTGTAAATGCCAAAGGGAGTCTTCTTGCCTTGCTTCATGAAGAACTGCCACCTTCAAATGAAATATCTAACTATAACAGCAGGCTAATATTATAAAGATCATGAAGCTATACAATTTCCAAAACTGCACCTGCTGTGTAATGTATAAAAGTGGTATCTATGTGTACCTAACACAATATGGTGAAGCTGCATATGAAACTAGACAGGAACTTCAATTAACTTTAAGCAATGAACGTCAGAAAAGCTAGTCAAGAGTGAAAAAAAAGATGTAATGCAACAACATGTCTTTTGTATCCCCAGGGCCAACCCAATGTCTAATGAACATTGGACAGATCACATAAACACTTTTGACTCCATTCGGAACACTGAATGCATACATGTAGGTTTGAGTGATACATCGTAGATGACACTGAACAAGGAGTAGAAGACACCAAATTGTGTAAGTTGTTAGGCATAGAGGTACTTCCACTAATCACACACAATAGGCAAGATGATAGTCAGGTGCAATCTGGAGATAGTCCAAAATCTGTCCTTAAGTACAGTCTATCGTATGCATTTTTACAATCATGTTAGATTCTTACAGAAACAGGTTTAAAGCTAACATTCAAAGATCACTTCACAATACAGTTGACTCTTGTTACTATGACATCCGCAACACCTAGTGAAAACGTTCATTACATCTGAAATTCATTGTAGGCAAAACGCGACGCAAGGGCTTTGGTGTATTGTATGAATAGGTCCTATTGTGTACAATGCCACGTAAAATGTACATTTACAAATGTGTATGTACAAGCAATGTACATGCATACACATGAACGTGATTTGAAGTAAAAAAAAATCTCAGAGTTTGTGATGCGTTTAGAATAATAAACTTCAGTCATATGAAAACATATTAAATGTACATGTGAGATAAAAAGCAAATAACACTTCCGATCCTGGAATTTTTAAAGACTTTTTGATCACCATGGATAAGGACAAAGCTAACTTAATGGTTTGCACATACGCCTGTGTGTAACTGCAGGAATGTTGCGAAGACTCATCAACTGGAGCCCCCATCCAGTAAGTAGTCTTTCCAACACAACTTGTGTCATGGAGAGACATTTTTCTTTTGATTTCTGCCCGTCTTTTGATGTTCAACACTAGCTGCATGACCACGTTTGATCGGTAGTCGGTTTACTTGCCTCCTGTGGCGTGGCCATCCATGCGCGTGATGGTTGCTGAAGCATGAAGCCATAAGAGAATATTGTGATTGGATAGGTATGTCTTGCAAAATGTACGTCACATAAGCCCACAATCTCAATGGCGGGCATACGAGTTCCTTTAGCAGCAATGTGAATAATTCATTGTTGGGCGATTAGTTGGGCTCTTAAAGAAGCGAGAATAGTCAAGCAAACTTATTTGGGATGTAGGCCTACCGGCATTTTTATCAGAATCGGGAAGGCATTTTTTTGTTCTAGCGTTGCTATAATCCATGAGGAAAAAATTGTTGGTTTTTGAATTGTGCATAATGATAGTCATCACGACAGAAAACTAGCAAACAATGTCCGTATATCGAGTTGTAAGCATGCGAGATCATCTGGAGGGGTGGGCGATAAACCTCATAAGCTGCAGAAGGAAATTTGTGGAAACACGCTCGCTTCGAGTACAGATCAGTGCAACCTCAAATTAAACTCACTGAACACAGAGAGTACATACATAGACAAGCCATCAATTTCTGTGACTTGACCTGCAGAAATTTTGCACCAGCAATGTTTTTACCTGCTACTGTAGAGCTGCGTTAATATACAGTGTAGTGTAGCAGTGCTGTTTTGGAAGGGATATGTACATAGACTGGTTTCTGCATTACCACAGTGGTTGAATGTGGTGGGAACCAGTGCTGTATTGCCTCAATGCATCGCGCACGTCTTTCCAACTCTGCGAATTGTGAATGTTCGTTATAAATTGATTGTCAACAAATGGGTTTTCAGACTTGTAACCGAGTCAAAAAACCTTTTGTTGTAAAAGAAATTTTGTACAATGCGATTTCACTGTAATAGATGTTCTCCACATAAAAATGTGCACATTTTTGCTGGGACCAGATGTATGTTTGTTATAAACAAAATTTTGTTATAGTGGATTTTGTAACAACCAGAGTCGAATGTACTTGCTAACAGGTCCTTTGCAGGTGTGTGACATGCTATCTCTGACACCTTGTCACCTCAGGTGTAAATTTCAGAACAATTCTAAGTGTTAAAGAGACTCTACTTTTGTAGTTTATCATGAGCACTGTGGTGACAGCAGCCAATAACAGTGCAAATAAAACCAGTAGCAACTCCTGTCTGTCTGGGAATGCATCTAGTACTGCTGGCCTCAGCATAGCTGTGTCCAGATTGGTTATTTATAGTGGCTTTGGTGTTTGCTGTTACACAGCCACACTGTGTAACAGCACTGTGGATTGAAGAGGTTCATAAGAAATCTTTGACATCAGCGCAAGTGATCTCAACGGACAACAGAATAATACTATCTGTCTGAAACAATTTCTTGGATCTCCAATGGCATCTTTGTTTATAATTGGCCATATGCATTCTGAGACCGTGACAGACAGAACACTGTTTGTGGTTGGGCATAGAAGAATGCAATTGAGCACCATAATAATCCCAACCCCATCCAAAGCCCACCAGCTTGCTAATGACAACAGATCGGACTTCAAATCTAATTTCAAATTGCATGGAAAGATGTGGTTACTCATTCTTTCATATATACAAAATGTCTACAGTAAAAGCAAAGACTTTAAGCAGAGTTAAGCAGTCCCAACATGTAGTCCTTCTGTTTGATAGTCAGTATTACAAATCGAGTAATTTGATTAAAATACATGAAGAACAAAACTGTCTGCCCAACACCAAGCACTCAACAGAGAATATCAATTAAACTTTGTTACTTCACTATATTTACTGATGAGTGAGACTGTGGATGAAAAGAAGACATCATTTGGTGACTTGCTTGGCGTCTGGACCTGCTTGAAGCCTTGAGGACTAGAAGAGACTACATGATCATTTGCAGCAGCCGCTCTTGGATTTATTTCCTTTCCTACTGCCCAGCCTGACTGTCTGGCTGTTTTCCTGGGCAGTCTGCTTGGCAGCGTTCTCTTTCTTTTGCTTCAGTACTAACTCTGTGATGGCGTTGAACATCTGTACAAAGGACATTGGTATCAAAGTCATGTGAATACAGTAACAATGCAAATCTCAGGTACATGTATGACAGTGGACATATTTTCAGCCTGCTTTTACTGAAACTTTTACATTTTCTTCCAGTATTTGACAAAACAGAGCAAACATAGTTTCTATGAAGAGGTCTGGGAAAAACACATCAGTGTAGAAAGAATCTGGACAGGATCCGAATCTAGAGGTTAAATAAAGCAGGCACAAGCAGGTGTAAGATAGCGATGGTGATTACATGTATATGCAGGCCGCAGCAATGGGATGCAAGATTCCAATAATCTACCTTAGTCTGTTTCAAAAGTAACAAGAAGTATGCACAACATTGCATTTGGCTGTATGTTACGTACATTAGCAGTGAAGCGTGCAATGACATCTGAAACTAGCATCCTGATGAATTCTGCTAAGTCAGACTA